GGAATTAATTGCGTAGTGGTGCATGCTGTCCGTCTGTAGTTTGTGTGGTAATTCAGCGAATTTTTCATCTTTCAGAGTATTGTGAAGTAGCTTTAACTGTTTAAGTTCGTTGCTGAGATTCAATGAACTTCCTTTAAAATTTGACCATAATTCTGAGTAATTAATGACAGGTATCTCACCAAATGCAATGTAAGATTCATACATGGTGTCGGTAAGCGTTTGATGTGTCTGAATTGTAGACGTTTGGTGTTTGAGTACACAGTCGTCTTGTAATTTCAGAAGTGTTGCACCTTGTAGTTCTAAATGAGTCGTGATGCCCTTACAGACGGCCGTAACTGTTGTATTGTTTTTTGATCCGAATATCCATTGGTTCGCATGATACAGGGGACTCCAAATAATGTTCGATTTTGTTTCCTGCACATTACACGTATTGTCAGATATGTTTTTTAATAGGTAAAATTCGCAAGCGTAAGCCTGTGAGCCGATGTTATATTTTGATTGTTTATCCGAACAGAGTAGTTTGTTTTCTGGTTGCTTGAAAGTCATACACTCCTTATACTGTTCACGAGTTAAGGCAAAATATTGGTCTCTATGCGGCGTGGCAGCTAAAAATGAAGCTTCTGGAACTATTGTCATCATTGTATTGTTGACTGTTGCAGGAATTGGGACGAGATTGAATAAATCGAAATCCTCATGATCGGTTAATGGCAGTTGTAAGACAACTATCAAATGATCTTGTGTGATTCCACTTTGTGAAGACATCAACGTGTATAAATGAATAACGTCCTCTTGATTAAATGGAAGACAAAGTGAATGAGGTAAATGGCCCTTGATCTTCATGATTTGGTCTTGAAGTTGTTGTGGAGACATCAAAAGAGAATTAATTCTGCCATGCTGAGTATCAGTTAAGACATCAAATATTGCAGCTTCAATTTTTATTAATGTGTGTGCCATCCATGTAAGTTGGGTTACCAGTGATGTATAGATCTCTAGGTGGTTAATACGTTTAGTATTATGATTAGTGTAATCTACTATTTTGTTTGTCTCATCTTGTAGTTGATTCATTTTAACTGCAATGGCTTCTGTAGTTTTGCTGAATATATTTAGCGTTGAGTCCATGACTGTAGTCTGATTTTTGATCATTTTTGATAGTACATCTTCATTATTGCTGATTTGAGTTAGAGTTTTAGAAATCGTTTCAGCATATTCTGAATCTAAAACACCAAATAATTTGTTAGCAATATTTCCAACTATATTGATGGCTCCTCTGGCTGATCGGTGTCTCGTCATAACCTTCGTTTCAGTTCGTAATTCTATGTTAGTATTATTGAATTGGCGGACGAACTCATAACAGCTTTCTTGTTGCTGTAACAATGGGCACAATTGCTGAAGTGCTGCTGTGCCATTTTGAAACCTTTCGATCTCCTTTCGAATAGGCGCGAACTCAAAGTAAGTGATAATTTTCCATCTTCCAATGATTTGATTTACGGTGCCAATTCCTTCAAAATATATTCCGGGTTTGTTTGGAAATGATATTTCTTCAATGGGTTTCGAAAGTATTAATGGCATCATCAATATTGTCACAAGTATGGTCATCATTAAAGATGTGCCATCATATATCTTTCGACGCTTTGGCAACGCTTCACTAGGTTCATTCGTTCGTCTTGTTTGTGTGACAGTAGAATTTTGTTTTGTTGGATTTTGATTAATGCTGCCTTCAGTGGGTAGGGGGGCCAATGATCGTAATGGTTGTTTAAGAATCCCATTGGCTGTTTTTATGTCAGCTATACGGACCAAGCCATCTTCTCCTTCATACACCTATTGCACCCTGCCAAGAGGCCATTTTTACATGGGTAGATTATCATCTTTAATAATGACTAAATCACCTTGGCATAGATTTGCCTTTTGTTGTTTCCATTTGTACCTTGATTGGAGTTCATTGAGATATTCCTTTGACCATCTTCTCCAGAATTCTTGTTTGAGTTCAGAAACTAGACGCCATCGTGATGATAAACTCATTCGGCTCTCCTTTTGATAGGGATCCACATTAGTGGTAAGTGGTTCGCCTATGAGAAAGTGTCCTGGTGTAAGCGCTGTTAGATCATTTGGATCGGATGACATTTTTGTTATTGGCCTTGAATTTAACATGGCTTCTATTTCAGTTATGACTGTTGTCAATTCTTCATAAGTCAATGAAGCATTGAAAATTCCTTTAATCATTGAATGTTTAGCTGACTTGACGGCAGCTTCCCAGAGTCCTCCAAAATGAGGAGCTCTTGGTGGAATGAATTTGAAGTCAATTCCCTTGTTACTACTGGTCTTAATGATCTTTTCTTTACCATTTTCTGAATAAATGGTAGACTGGAGCTCTTGTAGTTGGTTTCTCGCACCAACAAAGTTAGTCGCATTGTCACTATAAATTGTTTGGCATCTTCCTCTTCTGCTGATAAAACGTTGAATAGCGGCTATGAATGCCTCTGTTGTCAGGTCACTCACCACTTCTAGGTGAACAGCCTTAGTCGCGAAACAGCAAAATACTGCTAAATATGCCTTTGTTGGCCTTTTTCCTCTAATTTTATAATGAATCCATATCGGACCACAGTAATCAACTCCTGTGGTAAAAAATGGTTTAGTCAGAGTAACTCGATCAGTCGGTAAATTGCCCATGAGTTGGTCAATCAGTTTTGGTTTTGCCTTTGAACAGATGACACAGGTGTGAACAATGTTTCGCGCCATAATCTTTCCTTTAATCGGCCAGAAGTTTTGTCTCATTGTGCTTAGCAATAATTGTGGGGCACAATGGGAATTTTCTTCATGTTTCATTTTGAACATCAATTTCACTATTGAGTGATTGTAAGGAATTACCATTGGGTGTTTAGCATCATATGGCAATGTTGATGCTTCAAGCCTTCCTCCAACACGAAGTACACCTTGTTCGTCAATGAACGGTGCTAAAATATTTAGTTGACTCGAACTGTTGATTGCTTTACATTGTTTTAAGTCAGAGATTTCCTTTGCAAATTCTGAGCCCTGAATAGTTTTAATTATGAAGACTAATGCATCTCGTAATTCCTTTGGAGAAAGTGTTCTTGTTGGTGATTGTGTGCGATGAAATACACGGCGAACATAACCAATTGTTCTTTGGAGGTATCTGAATGAGTTTCGATGATCAATTTGATTTATCATGTGATCAGAACCAGTTGTTTGAATGATAATGTTAACTGTATGTCCTTGTCGTCTTTCGATATCGGTTGAGATGTTAAATGCCTTTGGGTTTGGCTGTTGCCAAAATTCGTTGCCTCCATGAAGGAAGAGTGGACCAAAAAACCATATATGTGAATAATTGAACATTTTAACTTTCATTCCTCTGGAAATGATGTCAGCAGGATTATCCTTTGACGCCACATGATGCCATTGATCAGCAAGTGACATCTCTTGAATTTTGCTAATACGATTTGCTACGAATGTGTGCAATGAGGCAGATGAAGATAGTATCCATGACAAAACAATTTCGGAATCGGACCAAAAGTAGGTTGGCACGTTTTGATACTTTAAATCTTGTTTAACTCTTTCTGCTAATTCGACTCCCAGCAATGCTGCGCAGAGTTCTAGTCGTGGAAGTGTCTGTTTCTTTAATGGTGTTATTCTAGATTTGGCGCACAATAGTCTCGATGTTATTGTCTTATCATTATATATTGCTCGCACGTACATAGCTGCTCCATATGCCTTCTCTGATGCATCCGTAAACACGTGTAATTGAATCGAACAGGGAACCGTCGAATTAAAAATATGTCTGGGTACTTTCACAGTATTTAATGTTTGTAAGTCATTTCTAAAACGCTTCCATTCTAGCTGAGCCTGAGGTAACAGTTCTGCATCCCAGGAATAGTTTTGTTGCCACAATTCCTTCATGAATATTTTAGCTGTTACAGTAATGGGGCCAAAAATTCCCAAAGGATCAAAAATTCGAGCTAAGTCCGATGCCACAATCCGCTTCGTGATAGGTTGCTCTGATGACATCTCTGCCTTACCGCAAAATTCGTCTGATTTCGGGAGCCAAATAATGCCTAATGTTTTTGTTGGCTTTATGGCTAAGTCATCTAAATCAAGGTTGATTTCTTGGTCTTCTATCGGAATGTTTTGTAGGAGTCGTGTATTATTTGAGCACCATTTTCTCAGCTTAAATCCTGATTTACTGAGCAGTTCCGTAAGTTGTTGTTGAGTGTCTAAGGCGGTAATGATGCTGTTAGTTCCGCTTAAACAGTCATCTACATAAAAATCATTAAGTAATGCAGGTGCTCCAAGCGGATAGTTGGTCATATTATGTTTCGCAAGGTGTTGAAGACATTTTGTTGCAAGATAAGGGGCTGACTTCGTTCCATATGTAACCGTTTTTAGTCGGTA